ACAACAACAACGACGACGACGACGACAACAATGACAACAACAACAACAATGACAACAACAACAACAACAACAACAACAACAACAACAACAACAACAACAACAACAACCACAACAACAACAACAACAACAACAACAACAACAACAACAACAACAACAACAACAACAACAACAACAACGACGACGACGACGACGACGACGACAACAACAACAACAACGACAACAATGATGACAACGACGACGCAATCGATCCCGATGCAGCGCTTGCCACCTTGAAGAGTCACTTCACACCGGAGGCGATCCTTGACGAGGACTTCATGCGCATGCTGTGTGACGTCCTGGAGACGGTGCGCCGCGCTGACGTGCCGACGGTATCCGCGCTCGTGCAGAACGGGTTCTTGCTCTCCGTGCCGAGTCTCCTGCTTGTGCACTCGGACAAGCAGCTGGACGCGTTTGTCACCACGATCATCACCACCGTGCTGCAGAAGCCACAGTTGACGGCGCTGCTTGGGCCAAAACACAGCCGCGCTGCGTTTGACACTGGCATGGAGCTGATACGCCGCCGCGACGACTTGTACCAGCGTGCACTGGCGAGCCTGATGATGGCGTGGGCGCTCAAGACGCTGCTTGAGGACGAGGACTGCGACGAAACGCTCATCGCCAAGGTGCAGAAGAGCAAGTGCGTGCTGCACCTGCTGGACGCCCTGGGCAGCTTCCACCGCAACCTCACGTTCCAGACGACGTGTGCGCGAGGGGTGCGGCTGCTGCTGCGGCTCAACATCATGTTCCGGCTGCAGGTTGCCCAGCACCCTGGGGGCATTGGCAGTGTCATGGAGGTGTTGCGGCGGCGCCACCACGCGCGCGAGCTGCTGCCCATCCTGTACTCGCTGCTGGACCAGCTCGACGTGCCGGACCTGCGCCTGGGCATCAAGGCGATGGACATGTCGACTGCGTCGCAGGTGATCAGCGCCATGGTGCTGCACAAGGACGCGCGCGACGTGCAGCGGTTTGGGTGCGGCCTGCTGGTGCACTTGCTGCACGCGTCCAGCGTGGACGGCATGGCGGACATGATTTACAGCGGGGGTGGCGTTGGGCTGGGCCTTGACGCCGTGCGGCGGTTCAAGGATGACGTGCACGTGGTGACGTCTGGCCTTGCGCTGGTGGCTGGCTTGCTTCAGCAGCTTGAGGACGACGTCGCTGTGGTGGAGGAGGTGCTGCAGGCCGGGGGCGCACCACTCACTGTCACTGCAATGGCAGCACACCTGGACCCGCGCGACGACAGCGACGAATTTGTGCAGGAGATTGGGTGCGAGGTTCTCACGTTCCTCACAGAGGCCGGCGACGAGCACTGCCTGCACGTGGTGGAGTGCGGCGGGCTGTGTGCTCTGCTGGACGCGGTGGAGACGTTTCCCGACAGCAGCAAGATCCTGCGTGCGGCCATTCCGGCGCTGAGGAACGTCTCATACCTGCCCGGCTGCGTGGCTGACATGTGCAAGCACGCGGTGGTGCCGCGGGCACGGGAGATGCTGTGGGAGTCCTCAAACGAGGACAGGCTGCTGGCGGCACTGGACCTGCTTTCCAACGTGTGGCACCACGACATGGACGTGCCGACGCTTGACGATGTCAAGGCGCTCGTGTTTGTGCTTCGGCACGTGATGAACAATCACACGAGCGTGCACCGCCGCGCGTGTCAGATGGCTGCCACCCTGCTGTCGAAGCGGCCGGGCGTGGCGCCGCTGCCTGTGGCCACGGAGCTGGCGGAGGCGCTGATTGGGCTGCTGTGCTTGAGAGAGGCTGAGGCCGTGGTGATCAGCGAGGCGTGCTCAGCCCTGTGGGTTCTCCTTGACCAGCGGCCCTCCGTCTTGGAAGCCGTGGTGGACAGCGCTGCCGCCAGCGCTGCTGCCACCGCCAACAACAGAACCAACAGCAACAGCAACAACAACAGGAGCAACACTATCAACAACAGGAGCAACACCACCGTCAACAGGAGCAACAACACCAACACCAACAACAACAACAGCAGCAGCAACAGCCGCAGGGGCGGGAGTCGCCGCCAAGCCAACTCCAGCGGCGCTGCAATCGATGATGGCGATGGTGAAGGCCTGCGCGTGCGTGGTGGTGATGATGAGCATGGTGATGATGACAATGACGCAAACACGCCCACAAACGTGTATCGCGCCATGTTGAATGCACTTGAGGTGGACATGCTGAACTTGGATACGCACCTGTACGTGTACCGGCTACTGAGGGCGCTGGTGGCGATCAAAACGCGCGACGCGCACGGGGTTGCGCAGGGTATGCAAGAGGTGGGGCTGATCCCCGTTGTGATGCAGCGGCTCGACTGGTTCATGGACGAGCCAGACCTGGTGACGACGGGCTTGTGCATACTGGTTAACGTGAGCATGCTCAACGAGCAGGCGAAGCTGCAAATTGCGACCAAGCGCGGGCTGGACACGCTGGTCTCGGCCATGTGGCTGCACGCGAACGACCCCGACCTGCAGGCTTCTGCGTGCAAGGTTATGTACACGCTTTCCTCCCACCCAAGGACTGCGCCTCAGCTGTGGGAGACGGGGCTGATTCGCGACGTGCACCGCATAATGACGCTGCACCCGGGAGACAATGACCTGCTGTACGACCCAGCCTCTCTGCTGTTCAACCTGGCCCACACCTCCGGAGCCAACGTCGTGGATGCGATATGGGAGCGGCCGGGCCTTGTGCAGGCGTTTGTTGCGGGGCGACGCTACCAGTGGGCCGCCAGCGACACCGTGACTATGCTGGCGGTGATGCTGAGTACGTTGGCCATGCCAGCGGGAGCGATGTCACTTGTCGAGATGGGGAGGCTGTGGCAGGCGGCGCCATCCTCGGCCGTCCTGCGCCTGATGCACGCCCGCCCCGACGCCGCTCGCTGCAACATTGTCGTGGCTGACGGCCGCACCGTGTCGCTGCTGCACGAGTGCTTCGACGCGTGGGGAGCTGTCATCTGCGCAAAAGACCCTGTGTATGCCATGGAGCAGTTCAACATTGTGTTGTCGAGCGAGGAGGCGAGCCAGCTCCTGGTCGAGGCCGTGTGCGAGGCCATCGTGATGATGGCTGCGACAGCCCAGATTACGCTTGAATCGCGGGTGCGAGCTGTGGTGGAAGAGCTGGTGCGGTCTGTGGCAAAACGGCTGGCGCGGCACATGGCCACAGAGAGCACGGCTCTCGCTGCCTGCGCAGCCACACTCTCCCTGGCGAAGCTGGAGCTGCGCATGTGGACGGACCTTGCCCAGCGCACCCCAGCCAACGGAGGTGTAGGCGACGGCAGCTTCGAAGGAGGAGGGGGCAGCGATGGCGATGATGAAATGCTGAAGCTGACAGGACAGCTCAACGAGTCTGTACAACAGCAAGGGCAGCAACAGCAAGGGCAGCAACAGCAAGGGCAGCAACAGCAACAGCAAGGGCAGCAACAGCAACAGCAAGGGCAGAGGCGGCAAGATCAGCAACAACAAGAGCTCGGTCGTTCTAACGCCGTTGCGACGACTGCAGCTGATGACGATAATCACGATGCGGGTGATGAAGGTACACTGGGCCTTGATACCGGCAACAGCAGCAGCAACTTGGATGGCACGGCGAAGCAAGACGATGACAACGCAGGTGGACAGCGGAAAGGCGGCAATGATGGCGCCACAGCTGTTCACCACAGCTGTGGCAATTGTTCCACGAAGGAGGGCCGCAAAAGAGAAGCTGATCAGGTGGCAACGAACAGCGCAGGACGTGTGAGGGACGGTGACAGCGTCGGCGACAACGACGGTGACAACGACGACGACGCGGCTGTTGCACTGATGACAACGCTGCCCAAGCTGTCGCGTGACAGCGGGTACACGACACGCACCAGCCTGCTTTCCGAACCCACGCATGAGGTGGAGGAGTTTGAACAGAGCGAGCCGCAGGAGGACGACTCCTTGCCACGGGGCTCCATCTCATGTGGTGGTGGTGAGGGGGCGAAGGAAGATGTGCATGTAATGACAACTGATGCTCCTGAAAGCACACCTGTCAGCAGCGGCGGCGGCAAGGGCAAAGAAGGAGGCGATGAGGAGGCTGCTGTCAACTCCAGCGCGCTCGCTGCCAAGACCACTGCCAGCAGCAGCAGCAGCAGCAGCAGGAGTGCGACAGCCGCCAAATCGACCGTCAACACAACCAGCACCGCCAATGACACCAATTCGACAACGACGACAATGGCCACATCTACGACCATCGCTTCTTCCGCTGCCACCAAGAACAACACCAGTGACACGAACTCGACGACCAACGACAGCAGCAACACAACCACTAACACCAGCAAGAACGGTGAACGTGACCTTGATCCAGACACACTGGCGACCTATGATCGTTTGCTGTCCAACGCGTGCGCTGGCGGAACTGGCGACATGACCCCGGCAAGCGCAGCAGCAACGGCAGTACCCAAGCGGACAGCAAAGTCGGCAGCAAAGGCCGCACGACAGGCTGCGATGCGGGCGTCACGAAAGGCGCCGCGGAAACCTTCACGCAAGGCATCGAAGAGAGGGGCACGGACACCGGCGAAGAAGAAGAAGAAGAAGAAGGCAACACAACAGAAGGCAGCAGAGGCAGCGCCGGCAGCAGCAGCGCGCACGACAAAGCCGAAAGGGGAGGCAGCAGCAGCAGCAGCAGCAACAAAAGGTGCTAAGGTGAAGGCTACCAAAACACAGGCCGCACCTTCTACTTCGTCTTCTTCGTCGTTCCAAGCGACAAAGGCAAGAGCGGCCGCTGCATCGCAGGAGGAATGCACGATTATCTTCCACAGCAGCAGCAACGATGACGACGATGACGACGATGATGATAGGGCCGAGGCTGATGCCGCGATTGTTGCAAGGCATGGCGCCCTTCTAGAGCGCGCGTGCACCGATGCCAGGCAGGCCACCACCGCCGCTGCACCCCCGTCCTCGACAACAGCATCATCTAGGGGCGCAGATTTTGATGAGCGCACAATCATCTTTCACAGCAGTACCGACACCAGCGATGAGGACTGTGGCACCTATGACGTCAGCGAAGTGGAGAGGATTGAAGGCCATGCCAGCCGCGACAGCACCAACAACAGCGGCAGCAACAGCCGGCGAGGTGGTGGCAACGAGCTAGTAGACCCAGAGGAGCTTGCACACTACGACCGGCTCGTGGAAGGCGCGTGTCAGGGCAATCGTGCCGCACCCGCATCGGCAAGCACCGATGTAGCCACAGCAAACACAGACGCAGGAACAGCAGCGGGTACATCGACGACAAGGGTGCCACAACGCGAAGAGTGCACCATCGTGTTCCACAGCAGCACTGACGACGATGGTGATGATGATGTTGTTCATGGCGGGGATGATGGCGGTGATGATGACGACGATGATGGCCACGATGGTCACGATGATTATGATGATCGTGGCAGGGGTGACTGTGGTGACGGTAGCGGCGGTGATGATGAGAGCAATGACATGGGCGGTGTGGATGGTGCTGAGCAATTTGCGAGCAGCGGCGGGTGTGGCGCACTGCCATTTTCCCTGTCTGGGTTTCCGCTGAGCACGGCCAAGTGGAGCGTGCGTGGGCTGCTTGCGGTCATGGAGGCGCACCCACGGAATGCGGAGCTGCAGCACGTGTGCTGCGCCGCATTCAAGGTGCTGGCGGAGGCAGGGAGCGAGCTGTCTGCCCAAGTCAAGCGCACGGCCGTGGCTCGGGTGCGGGCGATGATGCTGGAGTTTCCGCACAACGACACGCTGTTCCACATCGGCGTAGCCACGCTTGGGCAGATGTCTGCGGTGGACATGGACTACGCGAGCGCAATTGTGGCCGAGGGCTGCGTGGACACGCTGGTTGAGCTTGCCGAGCAGCACATGCAAGACGCGGCAGCGCAGGTGTGCGTGTGCATGATGATGCGCAATTTGCTTTTGTACGACCCGACGCATATGGCCGTGGAGACGCCAGCGGTGCAGTGCCTGATGATGGACGTGATGTTTGCGCACCGGGACAATGTGCGGGTGCAGGAGCCGGTGATGACGCTGCTGGCTACGGCCCCGCCCAGCGACGAATACCACCAGCGGTTGGCTTCTGAGGGCATGATACCGTGGCTGGAAGACGTGCTGTACAAGTTCAGCGGCCACCACCAGCTGACGGGGCCGGCAAACAGCCTCCTGCAACAGCTGAATGCGTATGCGAGCAGCCACCAGGAAGAGGTGCCGCCCCTCTTTCGAGGAACGTTTTCGTTGGACACCATTCCCGAGGTCAGCGAGGACGAGCGCGGGCACAACGGCAGCGGTGATGGTGGTGATGGTGGTGGTGATGGTGGTGGTGATGATGGTGGTGATGGTGGTGATGATGGTGATGATGGTGATGATGGTGATGATGGCGAGCATGGAAGTGATGACGGCGAGTATGGTGGTGGTGATGGTGGTCAGAGTGGCCTGAACCCTGATGACGATCGTCGGTGCGATGAAAAGAGCCCCATCGATGCACGCGATGATGATGAGAATCACAGTGCTGAAAGCGGCGATGACAGCGACAGCAAAGAATGAGGCGAAGAGCACGGGCAGGGGAACTCTGATGGCTTCACTGATGATGATGATGATGATGATGATGATGATGATGATGATGATGATGATGATGATGATGATGATGATGATGATGATGGTGGTGATGGGGTTGTGGATGGTGAAGGTAACGCTGAATGTGACGAGAAGGACGAGGATGGTAAAGGCGATAATCGCGCTCGCGGACAGTGAGGAAGAAGCGGCAGCAAAACAGATTGTGATTGCAGTTATTATGAGTTGTCATTCGTCTAACACGCTTGCTTCCTTTGTACATGCAGTTTAACTGGTCTCACTGATGTGAATAGAAGGTACAACATTCAGAAGTAATGTAACGTGAAGGTGGATGGAAGGGGTGCACGTGAGAAGATTAAGGGAGAGAAAGGAAATGAGGGCAGGGGGGGGGGGGCAAGGAGATGGGAGCGAGCCAGGGAGGGAGATGGACAGCAACACATACTTATTGAAGAGACAGTGAGTGTCACACACATTTGTTACCACGCAAACCACACACACACATAAACACACACACACACACATAAACACACACACTCACATAAACACATAAACACACACATACATACACATAAACACATAAACACACACATGCACGCACGCACACACGGTTAGAGCGTGATGGCCCCCGCAAAGCAGCATGTGGCAGGGCCGGTCATGGTGAGTGGGGCGTGAGGGTGACCTGTCCAGTGGACCGTGAGATCACCACCTCGCATGCTGACTGTGATACCGGCGCTTGCAAGCACGTGACCATGCAGCACAGCCGCAGCTACAGCAGCGCATGCACCCGTCCCGCACGCCAGCGTCTCTCCCGCGCCCCGCTCAAAGATGCGCAGCCGCACATGCGTTGGCGTCAGCACTTGCATAAACTCCACGTTGACTGAGTCGGGAAAGCAAGCGCGCATGCTCTGCAATGCACTTCCAAGTTTGTGCACGTCCACATCGTCCACGCTCGTGTCCAGCAGCACCACCGCGTGCGGGTTGCCCATGTCCACGATCCACACCGGTCGGGGTTGCGGCACTCCAGGTAAGCTCAACTCTCCAGCGGCAACGGCCTCAGCCACTGTACGGCCGCCGCCGCCGTCACCACCATCGCTGCTGCTGCTGCTGCTCAGCTGGAGTGTGGGCTGTTGGCGAGTGATGCGCAGCGTGCAGCCATGTTGAGTGCAGGTGATGTCGCTTCCTTCCAGGACTGCACTTGACAAGACACCGGTGCCCGAGCAGCGGGGGACACCCATGCCCACCTTCACCTGCCACGTGTGTCCAAAAGGTGGTGGGGGCAGTGACAAGGATGCAAGAACTGTCGGCGATGACTGACGCTGGTGGTCATGTGGCGTATACGCGTCAGCGTTGCCTGGCTGCAGAAGCGTGTCGTGGCTGCGCTGTGCTTCTTCGTGTTGCACCTGATGCTTGTTCACGATCTCCATGTCAAGCAAGGTGCCCTGAAGCGTCCTGACGCGAATCCTGGGCTCGGACCACAACCCCAGGTGTTTCACAAACGCAGCCACGCAGCGTGCGCCATTGCCGCACTGGAACACCTCGCCGCCGTCTGCGTTGAAGATGCGATAGACGAGTGGTGTGCACTGGGCGGTGTTGGAACTTGAGCCCGTGCTGCTCCGCGGCGGCGTATCCTTGTCGTCTATGTCTTCCACACGCCTTGCACCCTCTGCGTCATCAACACGCTTTGCACCTTCTACGCATTCCACGTCTATTGCATTCTCTGCACTGTCTGTGCTTGTTGAGGTCCTGGTGGACGTGCTGGCTGCTGGTGATAGTGGTGCCGTCGCTGATGCCTGCACAAGAAGCAGCTGATCGAAGCCGACGCCAAATCGCCGATCTGCGAGCCGCTTGAGCGTCCCGTGGTCGGGATCCAGCAACCGGTGAACGACCTCGTGTGGCTGGCGCACGCCGTCCACCACCACAAAGTCGTTCCCAAGCCCTTGCATCTTCCAGAACCGCAACACCAGCGGCGGTGGTGGTGGTGGTGGTGGTGGTGGCATGGCACTCCTTTTGTGTTGGTCACGGAAGTTGAATGCAAAAGAAGTGTAAGTGCTTGCGGGGATATTTTCGCTTGACATTTCAGGTTCATATCTTGTGTCATCCACTCGCACTCATCATACGCACTGACACACACACAGACACACTCACACAGACTCACACACACACACACACACTCACACATACACTCACACACACACATTCACACACACTCACACACACACACACACTCACTCACACAGACTCACACACACACACACACATTCACGCACACATACACATACAAACTCACACACACACATGCCGCTCACCTTTGGGTTTTTACGAAGCTGACCGTAGTAGATCAGCAGGTACCCAACAACCTGTAAAACGGGGGAAGGGAGGGGGTGGGATCAAAGAGAAAAAAACAAGGAAGAAGGGGATAGTAGGGGTGCTTCACATGCGAGCCACACGTGCGAGCTGGTGTGTCGTGTGTGTTGTGTGAGTGTTAGGGGAGGGGGGGGGGTATGTGAGTGGGAGTGGGGTGAGAGCTCGAGGAGGTGAGGAGAGAAAGAAAGGAGCGCGGTCGTCTGTTCTCTGCTGTCGACAATCGTTGGCAACAGCAACCTCGAAAAATCGCAAGTTTGGAAGATTTGTGAAAACCTTCAACAAAATTCGGCAAGATCTCGACGATGATGAACGCGTGCATGCCTTCCCCATCTTTGAGCGCCGGGAGCAGTGTAAGATTTCAGCGAGTTTTCCCCAATAAAAACCACACACACACACACACACACACACACACACAAGCACACATTCACACACACACAGGCACACACACAAGCACTCACACACACACCTGTGTCCAGCCAGCATGCAGGCACAAGCTGCAGCATGTGCGTGCTGAAGGACTTTGCCCGGTGCACGCCGCTTTCCCCTCGTCCTCGTTCGCCTCCCGGCTTCTCTTCTCTTGGTTGCCCCGCCCCAATCGCTCGACGTGTGAACATGTGCTGTGTCGGCGATTACTCCTCCCTCCCCCGTGCGCGGCTAAGGAGCTGGCACCGGTGCAAGCTGGATGTCGTTCCGGTACAGCCACAGCAACAGAATGTTGCGGGCTGCGTTGGCGTCGCGGCCGGCGACATATCTGCAGCTGTCGTGGGGGCATGCGAACACATCGTCAGCGCCGAGGCTGTGGTGCAGCCGCCCGCAGCGGCCGCAGGTCTTCGACGTCCACGCCTCATCGCAGATCACAACCGTGCACCCAGGCTCCCTCTCCGCGCGGTCCAACAACAGCTGCCTGAAGCGGTGGTGTGCCCAGACGCCCATGGAGCGAGCCGTGTCGCGGCCAAACGGGCGACCGGACCGGCGGATCATCCGGCTGGTGCCGAAGCGCGGCAGCAGCACGACGCGGAACGACATCACAAGATAATTGGCGACGACTCGATGAAGGTGGTCCACGCGGTTCCTCACCACGCGCAGCTGCTGCCGGTGCCGCCGTCGCGCGGCTGCCACGTCGCCTTCGCCCCGGGCTTCGCCCTCCTGCACCGCTACTTCCAGGAGGTCGGCATCAGCACGGATGTCATCGGCGTTCCTGAGAAGCATGCGCAGCTCCTCGATGGCGTCATGCGCGATGGACACGGTCCCAGACGCCGTCCACAGCGTGAATGGCACGCGGACGCCTGGGTCAATGGACACAACACCGCCACGTCTCTCGCGCAGGAGAGCGTTGCGCTCCTTCATGCGCAGGAGTCGCCGCCGCTTTCGCAGCCGCCGCCGCCAGTCCAGGTGCGCCGCATGTCGCTCTCGTGCTGCCTGAAACTCTGCCTCTGCTTCCTGTGTCTGCTTGTCTATCGCCTTGGCCCGTCTCAGCCTCACCCACCGCCTGCGCGCCTCCCTCGCCTCCGCTTGCAACCGCCGTGCCACCTCGCCCATCTTCCGCTCCCTCACACGTGCCTTCTCCTCCAACGCCTGCATGGCCATGTCCCCGCCGCCATGTTCCTCGCACTTTGCACGTGCCTCTTCCTCCTCCTCCACCTCTTGCAGGCCGTCGTCGCACCCTGCCAGCACAGGTCTCTCAACCTGGAGCAAGCTTTGCCCGAGCGTTCCCACGTCATCAGGTGCTCCTCGGGTGAAGTTGGAGGCCACACATATGTGGTACCTCCCCGACGCATCCAATGTGAACCTTGCCTGACCGCGAAAGTCTTTCGCAGCGTGTAGCGGCTCTGCTACACGGAGCTTGTCCACGCACATCACCGCAACATGCCCCTCGTTGCTTGAGATTCACGGCATCCACGGGGATGGTGTTGCGCGCTGCCTGCCTACTCATGTGGAACTTGAATGTGTCGTTCTCCTCCTGCCGCTGCTGTTGTGTCTTCAGGGCCGTGTGAAACTCCAGGATGCTCCCGGTCCATGAGGACACCGCCATGCCCTTCTTCGTCATTAACCATGTGCTCCTGTGGACGTCCGCTATCTTCCTGGCGTAAGCATCGGTGAGGGTACAGTCGCGAATTTCCTGTACTTGTCGCTGCTCGAGGTCTGCCACCTCCCGCTGTTGGTGCTTCTCTAGCGCTTCCTGCTTGGCTGCGTGCTCCTCTGCGAGCGCCTCCTGCTTGGCTGCGTGCTCCTCTGCGAGCGCCTCCTGCTTGGCCGCGTGCTCCTCTGCGAGCGCCTCCTGCTTGGCCGCGTGCTCCTCTGCGAGCGCCTCCTGCTTGGCCGCGTGCTCCTCTGCGAGTGCCTCCTGCTTGGCCGCGTGCTCCTCTGCGAGTGCCTCCTGCTTGGCCGCGTGCTCCTCTGCGAGTGCCTCCTTCCGGCTCTTGGCAGCCCTTCTGCAGGCCTGAAACTCCTGTAGCTCATTCAGAAGCATTGTTTTCAGGGCCTGCAGCGCGTGCAGGAAGTGGCGGTGCTTCGTGTCAGCCACCACCTGCTTGTCCTTCAGGCTGCGCGCGGCCCTGTCATGCTCCACTGGATCGAGGAGGTCGTCCACCACCTCCTGTACCTCGTCTCGCTCGCGCACCGCTGCCTGTAACTCATCATTCAACTTGCGCAGCTGTAGCAACGACGCCCTGGCCTTTGCGAGGTCTGGCAGTGGTGGTAGTGGTGGCAGTGGTGGCAGTGGTGGTGAGCTTTGTGTCTGCCCCGACTGGGGTGCCTTTTGCTTCTGTGTCTGCTTCTGCTGCTGCTTCTGATGTTGTGGCTGTGGTTTGCTCTGTGACGTCTGGCGACAGCTGCGCTTGTCATGGCCCGATTGGCGACACACAGTGCACCTGCGCGGCTTGCTCTTTGCCTTCTTTGTCGCAGGGCCAGGGGCATCGTCACTTGGCGCGTCGTCGTCCTGGTGGTCGCCATCCAATTCGTCATCGCCAAGGTCACCGGCGCCATCGACCTGCGGCAGCTGCAAGGGCGGAAGCATCTTTGCTTTCTTCGACGGCTGCTGCTGGTGTTGTGTGCAGGCTGTGGTTGAGCCCGTTGGACTGGTATCCTGGCCGCAATCGCCCGAGCACGCCTTGTCGTCCCCCTGGCTTTGCAACCGCAGCAGCAACAACACTGCGGGAGATACCGGTGAGGAGCCCGGTCTCTTGCTTTGCTTCTTGGGTGGTGGTGGTGGTTGCTTTGGCACTGCGTGTGCCTGTCGATGTGCTGACGCCACAGGCTGGTGCGTGCTTGGCTTCTTGGGTGGTGGTGGTGGTGGTGGTTGCTTTGGCACTGCGTGTGCCTGTCGATGTGCTGACGCCACAGGCTGGTGCGTGCTTGGCTTCTTGGGTGGTGGTGGTGGTGGTGGTTGCTTTGGCGCTGCGTGTGCCTGTCGATGTGCTGACGCCGCAGGCTGGTGCGTGCTTGGCTTCTTGGGTGGTGGCGGTGGTGGCTGCAGAAGTCGCTCAAACTCCTCTTTTAGTTGCTGCTGACGCTGTGCTGCCTCGTCCTGCTGCGTGTATGCCTGCTTCAGGTCCTCATCCGTTAGGGCAGCGAGCTGATTCAGGCGCATCAGCACCCGTACGCCGTCCCGCCTCGCATAGGCTCCGTCATACGCTGCTCCTGCGTTGTGATCATCAACCGCTGCATTGTATGCTTCTGTTGCTGCTGCAAAGTAGGTGTTGAGCCATTGACGTTGAACCCTGGAAGGGTATATTCGCACCTTCCTTGATCGCTGGTGCGTGCTTGGCTTCTTTGGTGGTGGTGACTGTGGTGCTGCGTGTGACTGTGGATGCGCTGACGCCGCAGGCTGCTGATGTTGTTGTTGCTGCTGCTGCTGCTGTTGTTGTTGTTGTTGTTGTTGTTGTTGTTGTTGTTGTTGTTGTTGTTGTTGTTGTTGTTGTTGTTGTTGTTCTTGTTGTTGTTCTTGTTGTTGTTCTTGTTGTTGTTCTTGTTGTTGTTCTTGTTGTTGTTCTTGTTGTTGTTCTTGTTGCTTCTGCTTCGCGGCCTGCTGCTTCGCCCGTTTCTCGGCCTTCTCCTTTGCCTTCTTCTCCTGACGCTTCTTGTGGGCGGCAATGATTTTGTCTGACAGACAAGGCGCCGTCGTGTCGTGGCCATGGGGCACGACACTGACAAGCCCCCACTGGTGCTGCAGCTGCACGGGTGTCTCGGCCTTGGCCTGGGGGGTTGCTGGTGACGCGGGCTCTGGTATAACTGCAGCTGTATCCGCGTGCCAGAAGAACGAGCGGGCATCATCCCCGCCGTCCACACTTGCGGTATCCTTCTTCTTCGTGTTCTTCTTCTTCTTTTTCGTGTCCTCCTTCTTCTTCTTTCTGCCCGTCACGTGCGTCTCCGCCCTCTGCTTCTTCTGCTCCTTCGTCTGCGCTCGGGTCTGAACCTGCTTGCCTGCCTCGCGCTCTTGCACGCGCTGGGGGACACGGGGGGACTCTTGGGCAAGCTGCATGCTTGTGTGGATCTGCTTGCTGATTCGCCTGAAGACCCGCTTGCCTGTCCGCCTGCTCGTGTTCTTCATCACCCTGACTCGCCCTGGGATGCAGTGTTGGTGTGGGTCGTTGTCCTGGTTCAGGGGCGGCCGTAGGGTGGTGAAGTTGTCCGGCATCGGCGCCAGCATCTGCTCCCGGCCGTCGAGGTGCACCGGTCCGCAGAAGAAGGCGACGGCACTGGCGATGAAGTCGCCGTCTGCCCGGATGTGCCGGTCGACAGCAGCTACCGCGGGCCAGAACCCCAGCCGGTTGGCTGTGGCTGCGGCTGTGGCTGCGGTGGTTGTGGTGTCAGCTGTGTCAGCGTCGGTGGTGTCGGCTGTGGCTGTGGCGGTGGTGTCGGCGGTGGTGTCGGCGGTGGCAGCAGCGGTGGTGTCGGCTGTGGCTGTATCGGTGGTGGTGTCGGTGGTGGTGGTGGTGGTGGTGGTGGCTGTGGCTGTATCGGTGGTGGTGTCAGCTGCGCCCGCTTCCGTGCAACACCTGCAGTTGTGCTTGTTGATGAGAATGCGACACTTGCTCTTTGTTGATACCCAGTGACCACACCATAAACATTGCTGATGTGACTATGTGTGTGGATTGAGGCACAGTTTGCAAATCAGGTGCTGGGATATGAACTAACCGGCGCGTTTGAAGACGTCGCAGCCCGCCAAGATCGCCACGATGCCATCTGCCATGCAAAGCTTGTGACGCTTGCGAATGCAGACGCCACGAAGCCTCACGCGACCCGCCTTGCGCTGCAGTGTGTGGCGGAATACGATGATGCCATCCCCTGCGTCGTGCAGCAGCATGTCACTGTCTGACGAGGGGAACAGCGCGACGTGTATCTCCTGCACGTACGTGTGTGTGTGTGTGTGTGCATGAATGTGAGTGGCGTGAGGGTGTGTCAACATGCTTTTCATCTGTGTGTGCATGTGCGGCGTGTGTGGGTGCTGCGTTGGTGCGAGTGCAGCCTCGCTGAAGCTTGTTTGTGCACGTCTCACCTTGCGACGGAGCATTGCTGCTAGCTGGTGGTCGGCCTCGCCCGGTGCGGTTGTGAACTCGGCGCTGGTCTTCTGCTCGATGGCGGCGCGCAGCTGTCTCACCAAGCAGCTTGGGGTTCCCGAGTCCCGCAGCTTGTACGCCGTCGGGGTCTCGTCGACGATGATGACGCGCCGGAACATCTTGGTGAGAGTCTGGACGTGTCGCACGATTCGGCCGGTGATTCGGGCACAGCACGCCTGGCTCAGCTGGTTGCATGCTGGATTCTGCATATGCTGCCGTAGTGATGTCCTGTCACGCCTCCACAGAAACCTGTGGATGACGCCATGGAGCTCGACGCCGCA